CTGGTGTGACAGCGGTAGTCATCAGCCAGGATGAATTCCACCACCACACCTCAGTTGATGTCGCATGAAAACCTCAGTCAGCACTACCCCACTTCCCTCCAAATCCACACTCGGCTAACACCCGCTGCCGGCCAGCCGCTCCGCTCCGGCTCTCGGCCACCCAGCATGGAGTCTTCCTGCAGTCAATCTCTCCACGCCGTCGGCAGAGACCGGGCCCTCGGTCAAGCAGGGGCAGAGAAAAGGAGGAAGGTCGGCCACAGTGGCCGCAGCAATGGGCTCAAGCAGAGGAACCACGGCCAGGAGGCGTTTCTCGTTCTACAAAAAGACTTACAAAGTATCCAATAAGCGGAGGTGACTTCCGAGACACTGTTTCAGGGTTATGGGAACCTCTTCCACTTAATGCACTCGCGGATGTATTTTGAGAGTGGCTCATATTCTGAGGAGAAATGCCACGTGGAAACAGTGGGGGGGGGCGCTGGGGGGGGGTTCTGTTCGAGTCCACCCTTCGGTTATCACGCTGAGATATAAGGGCCAGCCCTGATACAGCACGGGGACATGTGGGGACTCATCTCCCGAGCCACCCAGAGGCTGCTTATTTGCAAGTGGAAGGTCTGGAGTTGCCGGCGTCCAGCAGGTCTCTGGGCCCCGTTCTCCCCGCAACCTGCGCTCGCTGTGGGCCTCTGTGCCCCTTGTGGACCGTGGCCCCACGATTTCAAACCTTTCACAGCTCCATAGAACACAGCCTCGTGTCCACCAACCCCCCTCCACCTGCCGACAACACACACACACACACACACACACACACACACACACACACACACAGCAAGCAAATAGCGTGAAGCTCCCAGGCCTGCCTGTAGAAATATTTTTCAAATGCTTGTGGAATATCTTTGATAAAAAAATATCTTTAATGACTGTTTTGTGACGTAGCTCGCAGCGATCTCGAATTTAATGTTAAGGTTTTGGGGTGCTTGCTCTTGTTCGGTTTTCGAGTAGCTCCTACGGAGCCCGGGTGGCACAGGTGGCCTGTGCGCTGCTCACTGCAAGGCTGGCGGCTCAAAACCACCGCCCTCCAGGGGAGACGGAGGAAGCTCTCTGCGCCCGTGAAACGTGCCAGTCTCGGGAAACCCACAGGGGCCGTTCTGTTCGACTCAATGGCAGCGAGCTCGGTTCTGATTTTATCCTAGTTTCCGTGGCAGTTTGATGCCTATTGATAATAATATCAAACCCATGCTTCTGATACAGTTCCATGCTGAAAATGATGGAGCTTTGGGGTCCTTGTCAGGCACCTGGTCCCCTCCAGCCCACAGAGGCAAGTCTCACAAAGCCTTCATCCAGCATCACAACCAGGAAATAGTGGATACTGACCCAGCGCAGACCCACCAGTTCTGCCTGGCGTGTGTGTGTGTGTGTGTGTGTGTGTGTGTGTGTGTGTGCGCGCGTGTGCGTGCTCCAAGGACCCTGTGCTGTCTCTTCTGAAGTGGTCCCTCTGCTGCTTCCTCTTGGCTTTTTCCCGGCATGCAGCCAAGCTTGATGGGACCCATGACTCCTGCCCCGGTTCCCGAGTCCCAGGCGGCATGTCCTCCTCTGGGAGCACTGTGGTCAGAAGGGCACTTTGCATTTGGTTCGCCGTCCCCCGCAGGCTCCTCCTTCCCCAGGAAAGGTACACAGACCCCCAGCGTATGTCTCCCCCATCCGCCCACGATGGCCCCCCTCAGAAACTGGCAGGGTGAAGCATCTGCACCGTCCTTTCTTCTCAAGGCCCGGATTTAGCCTGAAGTGACGAGCTTCCGTGCTGGGCTCAGAAAGGGTGGATGCGTGATCTGGGTCCAGGCCAGAGGGACCCGGCCTCAGACTCACCATCCTGCAAACAGCAAGAGAGGGACACCGCGAAGCCGGTGCTCACAGGCTCCAGACGCGTTTCCGACAAACAGAAACAAACCCAGTAAGGCACGGCACCGGGAACAGCCTCACGCAGCAGTGCTGGGGTCCCCAGTCCCACCCGCTCCAGCCTGGCTCCCCAGAGGGTGCCAAGCAAAACCGTTGATGTCCACAAGGACAAAGGTCACAGCAGCGGCAGAGTTTGTGGATGAGCATCAGCGACCCGGGGCTTCAGCTGGCTCAGCCTTCCCGTCTGTCTCCTCCTCCCCTTCAAACCCCCAGTCCCTCAGGACGCACCCCTCTCCACTCCACACCCCCACAGGGAACTCTCTTTCCGCCCGGGCCATCTAGACTTCAGAAGACAGCACGCAGCTCCAAGAAGCCCAACTTCCTTCTGAGGGGCGAAGACGCTGCTGCGTATCACATGAAGAGGGTGTTAGACCCTCTTTTCCAAAATAATTAAAAGTTCTACACACACGTACACACGCACACTGCAGTCTGGGGCTACAGTAACTGCTGGAAATCTGTGCACATGTTGGAAAAGCAGTTCTCCTTTCTCAAGGAGCATAGACTAGGCCAGCCGCCTGAGAGGTCACGGTCATTGTCCACTGCCCCTCCGGCCAGGTGGCTTTGATCCTGCTCTGGGCCCACACGTTCAAGGGGCCTGAGCAGAATGAGAAACGGTCAAATTTGTCAGGTGGGTAAATTCTGCAGACTGGCCAGGGACAGGACAGGGCTAGCTGGCTCGTGGTGTTTGTACATGCCAGTCAGGATAAATACTAGCTGGACTCCAGGAACCTCAGCCCTGTTGCTGCTGGGCAGCTATACCCCACTTTCTGCAGAGGTGGAAACATCTCTGATGGGACACAAACGCCGCAAGCAGCTCACAGTAAAAGGCTACGACTGACAGAGGATCGGCGGCAACTCCAGGCCGAGTCACTGATGCTTTAAGAGCAAATGTCATTTTGCACCACGCTCCGACCAGCCCAGCTCTATCCGCGTCTTCGCTCACAGAGATCAAGCAGCGGGCCCCGCCATGTTTAGGTTCATTACGGTGCAAAATGAAAAGACCCAAACGATGTTCATCTAAGCGTGCCTGATAAATAAGCACGTGGCACGTTTGGGGCACTGGTGTATTTGTAGTTCCATCGTTCTTGGCAAGCTGCATGTGTTGACCGACTTAAAGAACCCCGCTTATCAGAAATGGCCAGTTGTATCCAGACAGATGAAACCAGGACCCCGTATAGGTCATCTGTTCCCCATCTCAATATGTCATCTATTGTCTTTCTCAAGAGTTTTCCCCTCACAGTGCGCTAGCCCGGCTTTTCATTATCACAAGCACGGGCCTTCAATGCGTGCTTTAATTGTGATCTGCGCTGCCTCTTTAAATTTTAGAAGGTAATGGCTTTTATTAAAGGGATTCTAAATAGCCCTACAGAATTCCTGCATGAAGGTACGATCTCCCAGGGCCTCCTTCTCCCCTCCTCCACACGTCGCCACCTCAGCCCCAGAATTTTCAGGGGGGGGGGCAAACTTGATGGTAATTCTGTTGACAATTTTTCTTAAACAAAACTGCGTGTGTGTGTGTGTGTGTGTGTGTGTGTGTGTGTGTGTTTGTAAAAGAAGGCATTCCTTGTCTGTTTATCCTTCTTTCAGATGTGCTATAAACGACGACGATGCAAAGGGCAAAGGGAATAAAGTAACGGATGCCTGTTACTGGGGTGGAAAAATGAGAAACGCACCCACGGAGAATCGGTGTGGGATCGCACCGGAGTGGTTTAGCCCTCGGCCACCCCTGATGGGTCTTTCCTGGAGAAATGTGACTGAGACACTCCATCTGGCTTTGACAAAGGCCCGAGAAGATTCCCACAAGTTGCTGTGTGTGTGTGTTTGTGTGTGTGTGTGTGTGTGTGTGAAAATGACCAAACTGTTATTATCCCAGGGGGCCGGTGTACCCAGAGGATTTTCAGGAGCAGCGGGGATGGGCGGGAGACGTGAACTAGACTATGAAACCCACCTGTGCGATGGCAACCACATTTGCAGATATTTCAGAAGCAAATAAAAAAGCAGGCGAGGCGTTGGGGAGAATGGGCCGTCAGGCCCAACTCTTGATTAATCTAAATTCCTTCTGTGTGCGCGCGCGAAGGAGCGGCGTTTGCAAAAACATTGGAAGACCGGCAAGAACCGAAAGCATACCAAGTCGGGGGGAACATAAATCGGGTCCTCGGAAAGACCCCTTCATCCTTCCCAGAGCAGGGAAGGCAGATGGCTGTGAAGCAGATGCTGGGAGACCTGTAAAGCCCTCTGGAAAGGTGGGTGCCTCCACAGCCCAGCGTTCTACCGGAACATGGAGGGTGCCTGGTCCCAAGGACTCTCTGCAGGACCCTCAGAGTGCCTCCCACGGGGACCCCGACCTCCAGCTGCATTTTGTCCTCCTCAGCCCTGCAAACCTGTTTCCCAGCCTGGAGCCCTGACAGGCCCTGGGCCTCCCAGGCTGTCCAAGTTCAAGTGGGGGGTGGGGGGGTTAGGAGGGAGACTAGAGGCATGCAGCTCTGCCACTGCCCGCCCTCAACCTGCCGGTTTGTCAGCCTAGGGCCCGCAGTCCTGTCTGGCCCACAGGACACCACTTTTGGGGCTTGTCCACCTGGGACCTGGCAGGCAGGGGCTTGGAGCAAGCCAGTGCCATCCACCGAGGACTGCTGAGGACCAGGTCCGGGAATGCTGGCCACCTCAGCTTCTCCAAACAAGCTGTCCCCAGCGCCAAGACCGTGGTTGGGGGCAAATGTGGCCCAGGCACCGGCAGCCAGGATGGGAAGCCCATTAGGGGACCACCGGTGCTCCAGAGAGAAGGAACACCAGGGCTCTGGGCAGCATCTACTTCTCGGGCCTGTAAGGACTGGTCCCCACCCGGCTGCGGAACCAGGTGGTTTTCTGGTGCCCCCTCTTACACACGCCCAGTTAGGCACCGCCACGGTGCCCCAGAGTGCTGAAAGCTCCCCATGCACCTATTGCCAGCTGACAGGGGTCCAGAGCGAGCGAGGGGCGCTCCCCGACTGCTGGTCCCCGCAGGGGCGCACACCTACCTTCCCTGGCTCGGGTCCTGTGGGTGGTGGCGGGCGCTAGTGGGAGGCGGACATGGACCAGGCACCCTCCATGCGCCACACGGAGAAGGCGTAGCTGAGGCGCTCGTGGGCCACGTAGCTGCAGCTGGTCATCTTATTGTCCATCTCGTCGCTCTGCAGGACCTGGTAGAGGAAGTCTATGTACCTGGCGGCCAGCTTCAGGGTCTGGATCTTGCTCAACTTGTCCGAGGGCAGCGTGGGGATGATCTTGCGCAGCGCCGCGAAGGCCTCGTTGAGCGACTGCGTGCGCTGGCGCTCACGGACGTTGGCCAGGATGCGCTGGCTCTGCAGTTCCTCGAAGGACTGCGCGCTCGGGCTGCCCTTCTTGCCGCGCTTGCCCGGCGTCGGACTGCCGTCCTCGCTGGACTTCTTGCTGTAGCGCCGCTTCCGCCCGAAGCGCTTGGGCTGCCGCTCCAGCTCCTCCTCGCTGGTGGCCAGGCTGTCCCCGGGGGACACGGGCGAGCTGGGGCCCTCCTCCATGGCGCCGGCG